ACCTCAAATTTATAATCTCCCTCCTTCAGCCTCCATAGTAGGTGGGATTACCACTGTGAACCAGTATAGCTGGTTTCCTAATTTTCTCCTTTAAGCTATCACAATGTCATCTTCATTTATAAGTAAATATAATTAGTATCATTGTAGTAAATACAATTGGTGTGGTGGCACATACCTGTAAACCCAGTCCCCAGGAAGCAAATTGCATGTTTAAGGTTAATCTTTGTTGTATAGTGGGCTCTAGCTCAGCCTGGGCTATATAATGAGAACTTGTCTGAAACATAAATAAAATAAAAAGAAGGGAAATAGAGAAGGACAAATTAGTGATATAGTTCAGTGGTGGAGTGCATGTGGAGCATGTGCAAAGTCCTAGTTTCAATCCCCAGGTGTAATACGAATCTTGAAAGGTTTTATTAATAAAAAAACAAAAACAAAAAACCCAGAACCAGACATTGAAATGAATTCTGGAAGATCAGAGAGACAGAATAAGCCACAGCTAACCTTACCTCACCAACTCCTCATCAGATCCTGTTTCCACAAATCTTTAGACTGAAAACTTCTGAGTCTTCTCCCAAGTGGATCTCAGCTGAACTGCTGCTAAAAGCATATAAGCTTAAAAGTCTCTAGTTTCTGGTCCTCATGCCTTATATATCTTTCTGCTTCCTACCATCACTTCCTGGGATTTAAGGTGTTTGTCCTTCCCCAGCAAAGACAAGTGATCTCAAGTGTTGGGATTAAAAGTGTGAGTCACCATGCCTGGCTCTGGTTCCAGTGTGGCCTTGAAGTCACAGAGATCTAGATGGATTTCTGTCTCCCAAGTGATAGGATTAAAGGTGTGTGTGCCACTATTTTCTGGTCTCTATGCCTATCTAGTGGCTGTTCTGTTCTGTGACCCCAGATAAGTTTATTAGGGTGCACAATATATTGGGGGACACAATATCACCACATTTCCCTTTTTGTCTAAAATAATAAAAGAAGCTTATAACTAATATAAGAAAAACTATACACAATAAGTACAATTAAATATATAC